GGGGGCCGCGGGCTCCTAACCCCTCACCTGCCTGCCTGCCTGATAGCCTATAACCCCTCTGCCTGCCTGCCTGCCTGATCGCCTATAACCCCTCTGCCTGCCGGCCTGATCATCCCCAAGAGCTCTCCCCTGCCGGCCTGATTGCCCCGAACTGCTCTCTCCTGCCTGCCTGATCGCCCCTAACTGACCCTGCCTGCCAGCCTGGTCACCCCCAATTGCGCCCCCTGCCAGCCTGGTTGCCCCCAACTGCCCCCCCACCAGCCAGGTTGCCCCTTACTGCTGCCCCTGCTGGCCTGGTTGCCAACTGCCGCTGGCCTGGTTGCCCCCAAGAGACTGTTTTGACTCCATTGTATGTTCTTGCCTCCTTTGTCAAGTATTAATTGAGCATAATGGCTTGGGTCGATTTCTGGGTTCTCTCTTCTGTTCCATTGGTCTATAAGTCTGTTCTTGTGCTAGTACCAGGCAGCTTTGAGAACAGTAGCTTTGTAATATAGCTTGATATCTGGTATTGTGATCCCCCCAACTTTGTTCTTCTTTCTCAGGATTGTTGCATCTATTCGGGGTCTTTTTTCATTCCAGATTAATATTTGGAGAGTTTGTTCTAGGTCTATGAAATATACCATTGGTATTTTAATGGATTGTATTGAATCTATAGATTGCTTTGGATAGTATGGACATTTTAATGATGTTGATTCTATCAATCCATGAACATGGTATGTTCTTCCATCTGTTTATGTCTTCCTCTATGTAACCCCATCAGCAGTGCACAAGATCTCCAGTGGATACCTGAAACCACCAATAGTATCGAACCCCATACATACTATGTTTTTTTCTATGCACATATAATTATGGTAAAGTTTAATTTATAAATAGGCACAGTAAGAGATTAACAACAACAACAATAACATAGAATGATTACAGCAATATACTATCATTAAAGTTCTGTGAATGTGGTCTCTCTCTCAAAATATCTTATTGTAGTGTACTCACCTGTCAACTCAAGGAAACACTCTAAAGCTTCTCTTTGGTATTTCCAAATGCATCACTACTCTTGCGCTTTGGAGCCATTATTAAGTAAAATAAGGGTTACGTGAACACAATCACTGCAATACTGTGACAGTCAATCTGATGATTGAGATGGCTACTATGTGACTAATGGGTGGGCTGCATATACAGCCTAAATATGCTAGACAAAGGGATGTTTCATATCTCAGGTAGGACAGAGCAGGAAATCACAAGAATTTATCAGAAAGGCACATAATTTAAAACTTATGAATTGTTTATTTCTGGAATTTCCCAGTTAATATTTTTGAACTGTGACTGACTGCTGGTAACTAAAATCATGTTAAATGTAACCCCTGATAAGGGGTTTATACTGTACTATTTTCCAGATGTTATCAATCTTTTGAAGATATACCCAGGCTTAGTGATAAATGAAAATGAGAGGGTTTATATGTAAATTCACAATAAGATATATAAGTAACAGTCTAAATTTTTGCATTTATCCTACATGAGGGAAAATAGCTCAAGGGAGGCCAAACTCTAATGAAAATATTAGTTGATGAGTATAATAAAGTAGAAATAATAGAAATCAGTGAATTTAAGGTGTTTCTCAGTTAAACTAGCTTGGGGTACATTTTCCCCTTAAAGGACAGCTCCCACAAAGATAAGTGAAAGTGGGCATCCCATCCTCAGTTCTAGACAGACCTGCACGGCTAAAGTGGGTTAATGTCACTTTCCTTCCTGAAAATAGACTAAGGTTTGTGGTACTGCTTCCAAGCAGTTTTCAAAAATCTTCAGCTTTCTATCTTCTTCTTATTGCTTAGAACAGTTTATCTAATTCTTTATTAATTTCATTCTTCAAGTTACCTACAACTTAAACCTTCATTGATAAATCTACTCTCTCACTCATTCACCCATAACCACACAATATAATCTCAATGCCAAACAGAAATGAAACTGGGATTATTTTCCATTTATATAATCTGTGCTTTTCTTGCCTTTGGTTTTGGTGCTAATTCAAGTTTACTGTATTTCTGTCTATAACAAAAATAAGAGTAAGACAACTAAAAACTCCCATGAAAACTAAAGAGTAAGAAAATGAGAGGAAGAGTACCCCACAGTGAAATCCAATGAGCAGACCATCTGTAGCGGTATTTTCTTGAAAACTACCAATCCAAACTATCTCCATATTATATTTTAAACATTAAGTACAAAAGAAATGCCAATTTAAGACATTAAAATAAAATTATTTGAAGTCTTTAATCTCTACTATTAGTCAAAGCCTATTTAAATAGCACAGGGAAACTATGAAATTAACCCTGGGTACATATTTCTTCTCTATTTTTTACTTACATACATACATACATACATATATTTTACATATTCATACAATATTTGCTAAACATATATGGTTTAATGTTATAAAAGCTGCTTAAACTGTTTAAAATGATACATACCAGGCTTTTCCCACTCTATTTCAAAGCAATGAACTCCATTTCTGATCCGGTTTTTAACAATTCTGAAAAACAAATTCATCGAATGAAATTCAATTGCATGAGTAACTTGTAAGTTTTCAATTTATAGATTGAATAATTAAATATGCATTGATTCTTATTCTATTTTTATAATATTAAAAATATTGTGAGGAATAACCAGATTGTTATTCAACTAACTTATACAAAAGATTTTATTGTTAGGGGTATAGGGCTTATAATTATTAGAGTGTATGAGTAGATTGTTCATTATTATTCAGTGTACCACTTTTCCATAATAATTTTTGTTTTAAAGTCTATTCTGCTTCTGTTAATTTTTCTACATCACTTTGGTAAATATTTGCCTGGCAAATCTTTTAACTCTCCTTATTTTCTAACTTAGTGTATATTCTGTACATGCCCTATAAGAATATTGCTGAATTTTGTTTACTCATCCAATAAAATGTCTTTTAATAAATGAGATTAATCTACTTACATTTATTGTGATTACTAACATAGTGGAACTCATTCCTGTTTCTTATTTTGTGTTTTCTGTTACCAAGCTTTTTCTTCATTACTTCCCACTTCCTCCTTCTTATATTTTTTTGGCTTGGTAATTTTGTGTGTGCTTTTTTTTAAGTCCTTACCTGAGGATATGTGTATTGATTTTAGAAAGAGAAGGGAAAAGGAGAGAGGGAGAAATATCAATGTGAGAAATACTAATTGGTTACCTCCTGTATATGCCCTGCCCAGAATCAAACCATAACCTTTTGGTGTAGGGGACAGTGCTCCAACCAACTGAACCACCAGGCCAGGGCTTGGTTTGATAGTATTATTTTACGAATTGGTTTAGAAGATACTGGATTTCTAATGTTTTAGTGGTTACCCTTATATGTCTACACATATACTTTGGAAGCTTATGATCATATTTTAACCATCAAGCATTATGCAGATATTTATATACATATTTTTTCCAGTCAGTTTATTAATTTGGCTATGTTTTATCAATTTTGTGCTGACCACTATTTCTTGTTATTTACATTTTCCCTCTGGGTTCAGTTTTCTTCTTGCTGAATGAAGTTCATCCTTTAATAGTACTTTTAATGAGGACCTGTGAATGGTAAACTCTTAGTCTTCATATGTCTGAAAATGCATTATCAACCAGTGAATAATATTTTAATAATGTTTAGGCTGCCAATTATTTTCCCTCAAAGTTTTAAAATATTATCCTGTCATCTCTTGACATCTATTACTATTATGAAAGATGTGTGCTATCTCATTGTCTTTTCTTTGTTGTTTATCTTTTTTCTTTAATACTTTCCTGCAAACTTTTTATTTTAAAAGTTTCAAACCTTTAGAAAGCTTGCAAGAATAGTGCAAAGATCACAGACATACCCTTCACTGAGGTCCCTCTATTCACTTTACACTTTTGTTCCTTTTTTGGTCACTGAAATAGTTATCTGGTTAAGCCTGGCTATATCTTATTAAACTATTGATTTCCTTTAATTTATTATAACTATGTAATTGAAGCAGGAAAGTATGTCAGAGTGTGAAGTTATTATGTTAACTTGGCTGTAAGCCCTGACTAAGCTTTTATTTATTCCAGGAGACCTTTCCTCTATCTTTATAAAGATACTAGAGGCCCGGTGCACGAAATTCATACACGGTGTGTGTGTGTGTGTGTGGGGGGGGGGGGGTCCCCTCAGCCCAGCCTGCACCCCCTCCCTTCCGGGACCCTTTGGGGGCCGTCCGCCTGCCAGTTGAGGCCCAATCCCAGGGCTCGGGCCTAAACCAGCAGTCAGACATCCCTCTCACAATCCGGGACCGCTGGCTCCTAACTGCTCATCTGCCTGCCTGCCTGATTGCCCCTAACTTCCCCCCACTGCCAGCACGATCACCCCTTACTGCCACCCCTGCTGGCCTGGTTGCCAACTGTCCCCCCCCAGCCTGGTCGCCCCCAAATGCCTCCCCTGCCAGCCGGGTCGCCTCCAACTGCCCCCCTGCCAGTCTGGTCACCCCCAACTACTCCCCCCCACTGGCCTGGTTGCCCCATGGAGCCTGCTGTTCAGTCGTTTGGTCATCCCTCACCAACCCCCTGCTGGCCTTGTCACCCCACGTAGCCTGCCAGCCTGCTATTTGGTTGTTACTGTTACTGTGACAGCGTCCTGGACAATTTGCATATTCCTCTATTATTAGTATAGATTAAGAAGAAAATTTTAGATCATAAGATATTCAAATGTAAACACACACAATTCATACCGAATTGGCTGTAGTTGATTAGAGTGTCTTCTACCAAGTTTTCTTTCTATCATGTCATAGTGGGTCAAAAGTACCAACAATTTCTCACATGCATAGTGATTGGGCCAATCCATTTTTTCAAGAGTAAATCTCTGTAAATATAATAAAAATAAAATAAGGTTTTCTTATCTCTTGGAGACAAAGAGCACTCAGATGATATTATTTTTTTCCTTCAGAATGAACATTAAAGTAGTATCACTGACAGAACAATGAGCCTCCTAAAGAGTCAGTAGTACATAGTAATTAAGTGTGAGGGTTCTCCATTTGTATGTCAGCATGGTATTTCCTAGATGTTGGGTAAGTTACTTAACTTCTCTCAGCCTCAGGTAAAATATAACCCAGCTCACAGATTATGAAGATTAAGTCACATTATATGTAATGTGTTTTTAAAAAAAGCAAATTTTAAATGTTCAATAATTGTTTGTTACCATTATTATTTCTGTTGTTGATAGGAATAAGCAAGAAGTAGTTATAATTTACTGAGCCACTGTTTCCCTAGCCACTCTTTAGGAGTTAATATAAATAATCTCATTTAATCCTCATAGTGACTTCATAATATAATTTCTATTTTGAGGAAAACACATATCCAGTGTCACACAGTGAGTGATAGACTATCCAAATCTAAATTTATGTAACTGATTACAAATCACAATGTCCGTGCAAATTAATATACCAGTACTTGATCCTGACATTCTTTGGTTATCAGCCCCTCTCTCCCAATATACCGCTGAATACAATATATCTGTACAAGGTATTTAAGGTGTTTTCTAACAAACAGCATAATTACAATTTGCCTTATGGTCTGCAAAGTACAGTTACTATGTAGCAAAGAAATGAAGACTAGAAATAAGTGCTGAAAAAAGCATGGGTACCAATAGGAGACCATTCAAAGTGATTATCCCTTCTATCTTCCTACTATTCAACTTCATACTGTAAAGAATTTATTTTCAGATACCTGAAACAATAATAAATCAGGTCTTTGGTACCTGACTGCCTTTACCAATTTATCCTTGTTCAAAAGGAATTCTTGAATAACCTAACAAGAGAAAAGAAAATAGGAATTGAGACTTCAAACTTTAAAAAAAATAAAAACTTCCGAAATAAACACACTTGAATTATTAGTTATTACCTCATGGAATGGGAATCCTTCACAACTGCAAGCTTTTCTGAAAATAGATTATATACATGTTGTTAATACAATCAGACTAAAACCATATCTTATCTAATCTCTCATTTAATGAAAAATGTCTGTATAGTATCTCAGTCATCAAGTTTCACTTTGAATAACTATTATATTACCATCTCCTGAAATGGCCTATATTTTTAGTAAATTCAAGAAAAGGATTTTGTGAAATGTTATTAATTTAGACATGGGGGAAGGCTATATGGAAATAATTCAACCACAGGTATATAAAATAGGTCATGCCAGAAAAGAATGAGTTAAAAACAAAACTTACTTCTTAATATTGTTCTCTATTGTCATCAGTTGCCTGTCCTGCTCTGTTCGGTGCCACTCACAGGAACAACAGTATTCATAATCATGTGGTTCACAATATCGATCAGTTTGACATAATTTGCATCCATTATGTTCATGATCCTTAGGTGAACCTTTAGGGAGGTATAAGAAAGTATGATTTTCACTGCTTTTTAGAATTATCTTCTATTATACTTTTTTTCTTGCACTTACCCACATTTGCAAAAATGAATACTGCCTAACAGAGTGCCTGGCTTTCAATATATTTAGGTTAAAGAGAATAATACACACTATAGTCATCTTTAAGGTATAGTAGATCCTAAGCTATTACTATCACATGACACTTTGTTTCTGTAAATTCCATTATCTGAAAGTGTTAATTTGTAACTTGAAATTATACATTCATAATAATCAACAATGGAAAAGTTTGTGGTTAATCTGATAGCTAAATTCAAGAAAAGTAAGCTATAATTATTAGTATTAAAAAAGATTATTTACTTTATAGACTAATTCATAAACTGTTGCCCTTAATTAAAATATTAAAAGAATACAGCAATAAATTACCTCTTTTAGTGTCTAGCTCTGAGTTACCTGTATTACTATTTTTAAATTATGCTTGGAACATGAACAAATTATGACTGTGACAAAGGTGTGGGATCCTACTTCCTTTTAAAAGGAAAGCATGACCATCTTCAACATTGTTTTGAGAATACGGAAGAGCATACATAACTGATATGACCTAAAATTACCATTTATAAGTTATCAAGAAAATATAGAATGGAGAATCTTATCCATAAAAAAAATTTTTCTTCCATGATTTCATCTATAATGTAATAATGTTAATGAAAACATAGTAAGACAAATAGATAAATGCCGTGGCTAGTGTGACTTGATTGGTTGGAGTGTCATCCCTTGCACCAAAGGGGATTTGATCCCTGAGTCATGGTGGGTATGAGAGGCAACTAATTGATGTTCTTCTCTCTCACATCGAGAAAGACTCTCTTTTTCTGTCTCGCCCTCTTCCTCTCTCTCTAAAATCAATGGAAACATACCCTCAGGTGAGAATTAAAAAAAAAAGACAAATACATAAAGCAGAATTTCTTTTAAAAGATGATCTAACATGATCTCAATCTCTGCTGAAAGTGGAAGACCTTTCTAATCTACTATGTATCAGTGACATCTTTTTTTTTCTTCCAAAACTAATAAAGAGAAACCAAACTATTTTCAAAAATAATGAACGTATTTTAGAAATTAGTTTCCAGGCACTATCTTCACACAATCAAAACGCACTCTAGGACAATTAAGAATTATTTAAATATATAAGTATAAATCATTGTTAAAGAAACAAATAGTTTCAATTCCATTTTCTCCAATACTATTAGTGTATTTTTTCCCTTAAAGTAGATTTCTATATTAAAAACATAATTTTAAGATCTAAGTAATTTGGATTCATAGTTTGAAACTAACTGTACTTGTTCTATATTTATCATTTATGTCACTTCATTTCATTCAACTAGCATTTACTGAGTGCCTATTATGTATATATGACAACTCCTGACTCTGAGGATTCCCAATCTAGCAGGAAAGATAATATAAAATGCACCTATAAGAACAGGGGTGAAAATGTGGGTATCTGACACTAATACTCCAAGATATCATTCCCTATTCTGCTTACCTGGATGGGAACACACAGAGCAATGAGCCAGTTTTTTAATAACTAGTGGTTGTTGATTAGAGTTACAAGGTTTTTCTTCACTCCACTGAATAAACCTTTAAAAGAAAATGGCTTTAAAAAGAAAAACAAACACACACAAAAACACCCCCAAGGTCACCAAAGTGCCATGTTCTCAAATATCAGGTTATTCTGTTCCCTTCGAACGTACCAACTTATTTTCCCTTTGGTGGTAGATAAAGTTACTGCCCAAATTAAAAAAACCCTCCCTCAATCAATGTACCTCAATTTTTAGATGTGTTCCCCAAAGACAGAAGAATTCCAACAGGAGAGGAGA